ATTCTTCATATTTAATGTGTTTTTATTCAATTTTACGTATCAGATATATCACTCCTTTTTTGAAGAAGTGTAGTGAATGGTGTTGTAGTTTAAGGAGCGTTTACAGTTGTTGGCAGTAGTTGCATCTATTTCTGTGATACAGCACCATGACTGTGACAGCTAATAGAAGAAAGAGTCCGCGCTGGCTAGTTTTATGTAGCGTTTCACAGGCTGGCGTCTTTTTGGAAGAAGGACCTCAGCTGAGCAAATGCCTCCACCAGACTGGCGTGTGGGCCAGCCCTTGGTGCATTCTCTTGACTGATGATGTGTGTGGAGGGCCCAGTTCACCCTGGGCAGGTTATAGAAGGCAGGCGAGCAAGCCACGAGGAGCAAGCCAGTAAGCAGCACTCCTCCATTGCCTAGTCACTGGTTCCTGCTCCATATTCTTGTGTTGAGTTCTTGCTCTGACTTTCTTGGATGACCAAAATCAAGCTATAAGAGGAAATAAACCCTTTCCTCCCCAAATTAATTGCTTTTGGTAGTGGTGTTTCATCACAGCAACAGACGAGTTACGACAGTTTTTCTGGAGTTATGGTTCCAGGAGGTTAGAGCCCATAATGGTGGCAGGAGCAGGAAACTGGAGACTCACTTCTCAAACTACAGTCATGAAGTTTTGAAAGGCTTTGAAAGCTCAGATCCTGCTCCCCAGAGATGGACTCCTCCAGCAAGGTCCCCAGACATCTGTGGACCAAGTCTCCAAGTGCCAGAGACTGTGGGACAGTCTTATTCAAACCACCACAGTATTGAAGCCATTGAACAGGCACTTAGGTTTTAAAGGCTCACAAAGCTGGTAAATGTTTAGTTAATGTATATTTCATAATGGCATTCTGATCTAGTCAAAATGTATTTCATAGAGAATTTTAGAATTTGGTATGTGTTAAATACTAATTTTTTTTTACTTTAGAAGATTTTATATTGCTGAATATATATACAGATACATTCTTAAGTTTAGAAGTATAATTACTAATAAGTAATACTCTCTAAAATATTTGAAAGTAGAAGAATTTATTAATTTCTGCTTGGGAAATTTCTATATTAAATTCAGGGTTTTTTCCCATCTCATGTTTCTAGTTTGGATCATATATGAACAAGTGATGATTGCAGCCCTAGACTATGGTCGCGATGATTTGGCATTGGTGAGTATTTAATCTGATTATATTTTACCCTATATTCAATTTGCTTCATGAGTTATATACTAGTGAGTGGTTAAGGCTTACTGTAAGGCATGTATCGATGCTTTTTATAACAGGTTTTGAATGTTTCTCTTAACAGGAAGCTAGTATTAGGGCTGTAATGCAGTGGTGGGATGCTTGGCTAGCTTTTTTAAGGTTCTGTGCTCTAGCATCATGCACACAAAAGAAAACAACGGAATGCTCTAGCAATAAAACAGGAAAGGAAACTAGATACTTTAGATCATTTTTAAATAGAACGTTTTTATGTGCCGGAATCACACTTGTTCAAGTCTTTTTATTGTTGTTGTTTAACCCCTTATGTTTTCAGTTTTGTCTTCAGGAGTTAAGAAGACAGTTCCCTGGTAGTCACGGAGTTAAGCGGCTAACGGGCATGCGCTTTGAAGCTATGGAAAGGTAAACGTCTGGTGAACAATGTAATGTCACTTAAACATGGCAGACATGGAAGCTGTATCCACAGTACATCACTGATGCAGGAGGGCCTTGCTGTCTGAGCTCTGTCTCATGTCAGGGTTCTTCTCAATACAAATCCCGCCCATACTGCTAGGAGATAGCATTGGACATGAACCCATTTGCTACTCTGCCTAGTGAAATTAGGTCCTGCTCTACCGGAAGAACTGACTTGAGATCCCAGGTCTAGCCTTTTCTAGTTTTGGACTTGACAAATGAGTATCAAGTCTTTTCAGCTTTCTTCCTCTAAATTAGGGTCTGGCCTACTTTCTAGGGTTTGCAGGAAGCATACACCCCGTCATGCATACACTCTCAAAGTACATGGAAGATAAGGTCATCGCTTGGATCAAGAGTTTTCAATCCTTTAGAAAAATAACTCCTTTTGAAAACTGCATTTTGCCCAGAAATGGCCTGTGGAGTCCACAGGTGGGGACGCTCTGCTCTTGGACCCATGCTGAGAGATCTGAAGCACATGTGTGGCCAACACAGGAGAATGAATTGTGGCTAGAGAGTCTCGGCTGGAATTGAAGCTGGAGCTTCCAGGCAGTCATGTTTCTTTGTCACTAATATGCCGTGCTAAGGGTGTCAGCTGAGGATAAGAACCCATTTTAGGTTATCTAAGGAAAGTGACATCCTTTGGATTTAACTGTACAACATTCTGTGTAACTGTATAGTCTAATAAAGAACAGTTTTTTGAGCCTCTCATGCTATTACTGTAAATTATAGCAGGGCATAGAGGATGGGTGGAAGCAATTAAGAGAAAGCAGACCATCAATAACATTTTAGAAGTAAAGGGAAAGATAAAAATGACTCTTTGAGCTGAGTTGTCGTCAACCTAAGAAAACAAAAAGAAAAATAGGAAACAGGTTTGGTTGGAAAAATTGTGTTTGGTGCAGCACTGTGATGTCAGATTGAATAAGGGACAGTTGGAATATATTCTTGGGCGAGGTGTCCCCAGTGGAGACTACATTTCCCCTTTAGATGTGTCAGCTTGTATTGGTAGGGCAGTGGGAGTGAGGGTGTCATCCAGTGCTCTCTGCACCTGTCAACAGTTTTGAATGTGTTCTTGTTGCTTGGCACTTCAAGTAATCTGGCCTGAGGTTTTCCTCATTGTTGGAAACATAGAAATGAGCCTCTCTCACCTGTTTTTCACTTTGTCGGCTTTCCACACAGAGCTTTGAGTGTGTGTGTATGGTTCTCACACACATTCAGTCCTCTGACATCAGTGTGTCTGCAGTAGCCAAGTCCACTGTTGCTCTTGCTTTTAAATCTTTGCCCTTTACTTCCAACATGTACCTGGTGGCCTGTTTTCTATCTTCAGTTTCTCATCCATTCTATTTCCGTGTACTCTGCTGCAGCTTGTAACTCTAATGCCACAATCTCAAAAATAAAAAAAAAAAGCTAAAAATAAAAAAATAAATTAAATGAAAGCTAGTTTTTAACCTTGGTTGATAGTTCTTATCTTTGAATTTAGATGAAATTAATGATGATTTTTTTTGTAGGTTTCTCTGTAAATACTTTGATTTTTTTGTTCTTAAAAGTAAACTAAATGTTTGCTGTAAAATGAAAATAGGAAGATTTGCGTAGATGTTATCAATGATGAGAAAGCCCTATTTAGTATTTTCTTGTATTTATTTTATAGTAATGATTCCTGATATATCTTTCTTTTTAACTAGATATGATGATGCTATACAACTGTATGACCGAATTTTGCAAGAAGATCCAACAAACACCGTAAGTTTGTACGTTGTCCTGAAAGTGACTTAAAGATTAATGTCAGGGTAAAATGAGTTAGTAGAGGAAATACTGAAACGGATTGTTCCTTTTTCTTTTATATGGTTTAGGTGAGCCTTGCTTTAGTTTTAAGATATTTGTTAGTCTTCAATAAGATTACCCATTTGTCTTATTTAGAGAATTAGTTAAAACTTGGTGAGGGCCAACTCTGCTTACCTAACAGCCCAGCAAGGCTCTTTCCATGTTATGACGATTCCTTAAGTACCAGCTTGCTTTATTGTTTGTGGATACTTTTCAGTTATCCTAATTAAAATGAAAGATGTCATCTCAGTGATTGTTATATCAATTAGTGCAGATATTTATTTCCTTTTTTTTCGCCTTCTTCCTACTTAATGCTTGCATTAAAGTTTCATTCAAATGTCATTAATTATTTGTTTTAAAATTCCTTAGTTGTCTTTTTTAATGTGTTTAATTTAATAAGCTGACATCATAGCTTGCCTCAATCTTTCAATAAATGGAAAGTTACAGGGAAGTTGTAGACAGTCATCTTTATGTCTTTTTTACACTTACAACTGCAAAAAGCAATACTTTTAGAATTAAGAAATGTTTTAAAAATTGCTTTATTTTTATGGGTATGGGTGTTTTGCATACATGTAAATCTGTGCACAATTTGTGTTCCGCACCTGTGAAGGCCAGAAGAGAGTGTCATATCCTTGGGACTGGAGTTACAGAAGGTTGTGAACCCCATGTGGTGCTGGGAATCAAACCTGGGTCCTCTGGAAGAGAAACCAGCACTGTTTACGGCCCAGACATTTCTCTAGCCCCTACTTATGCAATTGTTAAACAAACACCAGGTTTTCTTCTTATAAAAGGAAAGATTGTTATATTCACACAAGGTAAATTAAGAAAAGTTTTCTTTTTGGCAAATATATCTTTAAAAGTTACCATTAAAAAATATCATGTGATGTATTTTTATAGATTTTATGATGCCATAATATTTAATTGAACAATAGTGGTACTGAGTAGTGGTAGAATACATCTTTAATCCTAGCACTTTGGAGGCAAAGGAAGGGATATTCCTCTGAGTTTGAAACCAGCATGGTCTACCGAGCCAGTTCCAAGACAGCAAAGGCTAAACAGAGAAGCCCTGTCTCAGAAAAAAAAAAAGAAAGAAAAGAAAAAAAAAAAGGAAAGAAAGAAAAGAACAGTGGCAATTTATCCAAAAGAAATTATTGGTGGCAACATTGCAAATTATTTCACAATAACTAATATACTGATATAAATTTACTAATTTCAAAATAATTTTCTAATTTTTACTATCTTAATAGCTTGTCTTGTGCCTTAGAAAACATTACTTTTAAAAAGTACCACTTAGGTCTAGGGAGATGGCTCAGCTGTTCAGAGACTGGCTGCTCATTCAGAGGACAGAGGTTCAATTGGAAGTACCACATTGTGGCTTACAACCATGTGTAACTCCAGTCCTGAGAGATCTGATGCTCTCTTCTGACTTCTGCAGGCACAAGACATACACATTATACACAGATATGCATGACAAGCAGACAAAACACCTGTACACCTAATAATATAAAGTAAATTAGAAAGTACCACCTTTCTATATTGCTAAATATTTTCTCTTGTACTAGCTCATAAGCTCAAGCTCAAATGGCACTCCTGTGCCATTTAGCCATATATTGAAAAAAGTGAAATCAAGTTTCTGAGTTTCCTATGCTTTCCACATGTAGGTTGATATGAGTAGCTAATAATCTGTTTTCTTCGAGTCAGAGATGTTACTTCTGCTTTGTTTTCAGTGGGGATATTTTAATAAATTACCTCACTTAAAGGCAACGGCTGAGGATGTCTCTTAGTGGTAGAGTACTAGTGACGCCCTTGTTTCGTCTCCAAGACAACAAACAAGAAAGAGTTTGGTGATTTATAGTTTAATATGACTTTGTCTTCCTTTTCATATCTTGTGGACCTTTGTAGTTTTTCAAGACAGGCTAAAAGAGAAATCCACCTTATTTCTTTCAGAGTATGGGTGAGGGGACAGCAAGTAGACCTGAGTGTTAGACGCCCTGAACAAGGTGACTGCGTTCAGGTTTCTCAGGTGCATTATTAGTTATGAAATGAAATCAGGTCTTCTCAAGCTCCTCCTTTGTTTCCTAGATACTTACTGAGTATTTCTCATAAGCCACCAGAAAGTTTGTGACAGAGCAATAAAGGCCATCTTCTACCCTTAGGAGGGAAGTGTAGTGGGCATTGAGGGAAAAGACACAAAGCCATTCAGAAGTTCAAACTAACATATCTACTAGAAGACTTCACTTTAATATTACACAGCTGAGTTACTGGGTTGAAGGCACCTCTGTTTCTTTTTCTAAAGCAAATTCGAGGCATAACCTCCAAGATGAAAGTCCTGCATTGTCTAACAGTGATCATCTGACCCTTTTGTCTTGTGCGTCTGTGTTTAATGAAGAAATGGATCTGTACGTCCAGTTTTAAAAGACCCTCCTCATTCACACACATTCATTATTCCATCAGAGACACTGAGTGTTTACACTCGGGACCGGACAGAAGGGTGCCTCAGAGAGAGGCTTGCCTTGTCTTTGTTTTCCAGGAGGTTTCATTATATGACAAGCATCTTTTGAACCCTGAAATTGATTTATTAAGTTTTGATTCTTTTGAGACTTTCAATGTGAGTTTTGCCCCTCAGAGACTGTAAAGAATGAGTGTGCTTGAATGAAAAAAGGCAGTGGTTTGGAGAACGACATTCAATCCCACGTGAATGGCACAAGGTTTCACATTAAGTGCAAGCCTTCCTTAGGGAAGGAAAGAATGTGATGGTTAGAATTAAGTTTTCAGATTTTTGAGAAGGTTAGGAAAAGGAATATTTTCTCCTTATCTAATTTTTAAATTTTGTACAGTATATTTTTTAAAAGTTTTGGATAGTCAGATTAGGATAGTTGAAAGATGAAGTAAAAATTGCAGATAGTCAAAAATGATATGTGGGGAAAAAAATGTGTCAGTCCTGCCCCTGAGCTCAAGTCCTCCTCCCCTTGTCTTCCTGGGCATATTGTTGATTTACTATGGTTTGCTTTCAAATAAATTTTTTAATGCACAGACAAGCTGCATACCTGTACCCCCTCCCCCGTGTGTGTGTGTGTGTGTGTGTGGGGGGGGGTGTTTGCTGTGATCAAGTACTTGAAGTTTTATTTTGGAACTAGATAGACCTGCCTCCGTGCCTGGTGGGGATACTTTGAGGTTACACTCTCTTTGTGGCTGGAGAACCTGGAACCCCTTTCTCTTTGCTAAGCAACTCTTCTGTCCTTTCTGGGCTCTGAAATCTAGAGTTCAGGGAGTTGGAGATTGTGTTCTAGTGGGTGGGACATAGTAATCCTTTAATCCATTTCTAGAGGTTATCTGTCTGCAAGCAATCTATTATTAAAGATGTATCATGTGTCATGTCTTAAAATTGGTCTAATTGTGTGTAAGTTTTTAGAAGTCATGGAACTAATTTGATGAAGGTTTTTATTCATGATTGCTTAAAATTTAAAGCTCTGTGTGTGTGTGTGTGTGTGTGTGTGTGTGTGTGTGTGTGGTTTATTTGTTTTAGACAGGGTTGCTATGTTAAATTGTCCTAGTTAGGGCTAGCATTGCTGTGATGAATCGCTGTACAAAAAGCAACATGGGGAGGAAAGGGTTTATTTGGTTTCCACTTGCATATCACTGTTCATCATCGAAGGAAGTCAGGACCAAACTCAAATAAGGTAGGACGTGAAGGCAGGAGCTGATGCAGAGGCCATGAAGGAGAGCTGCTTCCTGTCTTGCTCCTCATGGCTCCTTCAGCCTTTCTTATCGAACCCAGGACCATCAGTACAGGAGTGGCTCCACCCACAGTGAGCTGAGACCTACCCATCAATCACTAATTAAGAACTGCCTTTACAGCCTATAGCCTCATCTTATGGAGGCATTTTCTCAGTTGAGGCCCCCTCCTCCCCGATGACGCTTGTTTCTGTCAAGTTGACACAAAACTAGCCAGCACAGTCATATAGGCTGACCTGGTGTGCTCATTTTGTGGCCCAGGGTGGCCTTGAATTTTCAGTGTTCCTACAGTTTAGTTAGCCATTCATATTTGGGGAATATAGACATGTAAAACTGTGCCTACACATAGCTTCTATGTAGTTTTAACTGGAAAAACCTTACAGGAACATCTGTGTTCAAATTCTATTCACCCCTGCTTCTGGCTCTCCTGTGTCCACTTTCCCTTCTTTTATTTCAGTGGAAATGAGACTATCCTGTGTGTCCTATTGAGGATGTAGAAATAAATATATTATATTTGCAAAATAGATTTAGCCTAGAAGAGTCAATTCTCTGAAACCAGGTATTAACCCTTACTTATTTGGTTTTTGTTGAAGGAAACAGTATCTGATCTAGGATGTGTTGTTGGCCTATTTATTCATTTTTGAGCAGTATAGTAAATTGTTTGGGATCTGTTGTAGTTTTTAGTAGTTTGGACTGTTGCAAATAGTTTCTGCAGAACTATTATTGTATTTTATAATGTATCCAGATTGTTAATTCAGAATATTGATTGACATTAAGGGATGAACTATTGGAGTTAGTACAGGCTAAAATTCTAACCCTCTTTTAAAGGTTGATTTTTAAATTTTAAGAATTAAATTAAGTCACTGGAGCTGGAGGTACAGGTGGTTGTGAGCCACCTGATGTGTGTGCTGGGAACTGAACTCAAGTCCTGGAAGAGCAGCAAGTGTACTCAATTACTGAGCCATCTTTCCAGCCCCTAAAATTCTAATCTCTGTGAGTACAAAAAGAGATATCACTTATTTAATGTGTTCTGGTTTTGTTAGGTCTGATGCAAGTAAGGTGTGTATATTTAGAATAGCTTGTGTTTTCCACTCTACTACCAACTTAGAATAAGGCTATACCTTTGTGCCAAGCAAGGTGTGATACGGGAATACAGATGACATCTTGGAGAGTAATGGAGTTGAAAAGACTAAGGATAGTCAAATGTGGTGTTTCTTGAATGTTTACTGTGAGTCCTTATGGAGCTGAGCACTAATGTGTCATTTGATAACTATCACTGTAATTCTATAATTTTGTCAGATGGTACTATCTTTATAAGGGGACCAGATCATAGAGAAGTTAAGATACCAATCCATCATCATGCCCTAATAAGTGCAGACACTGAAATAGCGGTTTAAGTCTAGAGACAGCCCTTGATCGTGATCAACTAAGCCATGGCGATGAATAGAGTTGGGATTCCATTTTGTCCTTCCTACAAAAATTTCATTCTGCAAATGCCATTCAGCTAGACGGCAATTGCGGTCATGTACACACTATAGAGTGTACATGAAGGCAAACCACTTGCTTTTATCCCTTCCTATTTCATTGGCATAGATTGTAATAAATTTTGCACTAGGAAGTCACGATAGGTAGAGTAAAGCTCCTTTCTTTACATACATTTTTATATGCGCTGAATAGCACTCAAAAGCCAAGAGAAGCCTTTTTTTGAACCTTAGTCTGGTTGCTTGGTAATCCTTCAAAACCCACAGGCTTTGTGGCTGTCTACAGATGTGTTGTTTGACTCTGGGCTAGAATTTGTGAATTGCTATTGGACAGCGGAGTGGTGAGTGTCCAAGAACAAGAAGCGCAGGAGAGCAGAGTGAAAGTGTGCAGGAGCCTGAAGCTTTGCTGTGGGCGTCGAGACTGGCTCTTGTTTATATGAAAGGAGGAGACTTAATTATCACTGCCTGTTTCTCAGGTGCTCTCCAGTTGTAAAGTATGTGAGGCAGCTGCTTTCTGTCTTCCTTGTCTGCCTGCTCTCTCGGTGTCCAGCACTGCTCAGTGTGAACGAGGACGCCGACATGGGCTTCGGTTCCCCTCTTAGCTTTGGGAAACACTCACAACTCTGGGGATATTCTATATGATGCAGTGTAGATTCTCTACTTAAAATTCAAAGCAATGGCAAGATTTTAAGACTTGAATAGCTTTCCCTTTATGATTCTACAGCAAAAACAAAGAGTATGTTTTTGAAGTCTTTTTTTTTTCATAATAGAAATTTTAATGTAGATAGTGAAATCTCTCAGAAGTTAGACAGACACACCTTAAGACTTAAATTGATTTCTGCCAAGATTTATCCAAATAAAAAGTTTAGGAAAGTTCAGAAAATTGTTAATATATTACTGGATAAGAAAAGGTACAAGCAAGAAATACAAACTGAGACTGGTTGAACACTGTAGACTAAGATTCCGTCTGGTAGAGTGCTAATCTGCTGTCTACTCTAACCCTTCCTTCTGCCTGGCTGCCTGGCTGTACTTTGATGGCCGACTGCTGTGCACTAATGGTGTGAAGCCCAGTGCTATGGGAGCCTCTGCAGCTGCTCATCCCTGTTCTTGTTGCCCTTCGCACTCGTGTGTCTCCTGCGCTCTGCCATGCTTGATCTTCCCAGACTCTTAGCTCCAGGCAGGACACTAGACATAACACCTACCTTGTTCCTCACTTCTCAGGAATCAGGTCTTTATTACCGATGTCCTTCGGTACATTTAAAGATACTTATTCTATGTATTTAGTCCAGTTCTTTGGCTGGTTTTAGTCAGGAAAGTAAATCTTGTGTCTTCTACTCCATTTAGACCAGAAATGAGGGGATTTGGAGAGATGAAAAGGTAGGGGTGTGTGTGTGTGTGTGTGTGTGTGTGTGTGTGTGTGTGATGAAATTATATTATAATCTCAAGAGATACTTTTTCAATATTAAAATCACTCCCCTTGGATCATTCTAAAGTAGAGCTTTCCAGAGTCTCCTGCACATCGTGAAAGGTGTTAGTTAGTATTCTCAACAATAGAGAACTGGTTCAGAAGTCAAATAACTGAACAAGTTACAGCATTATTAGGTGTTTTCAGTACATCTTGAAACTCTTACCACATTGCTGTGCTTATGGCTGTTCCTATGGCACCTTTTCCTCGAATTCTAAGCGTACTGTTTGCTATTCTCATTTGTTCTTTGACTGTGTCTTGACTCTCCAGTATGTTCAGTCAGTTCCAGTGTATCTGTGCCTCCAGTGCTGTGTGGACTGGGTCAAAGTGCAAGTGAGCAAAGCCAGTCTGTGCCAGTC